CGCCCTGGCTGTGCCCGCGGGTCCGTGTGCCCTGGCTGTGCCTGCAGCTCTGCCGGGCTGCTCCGGGGTGGGTGGCCACCAGCCCGGCCACAGACCCCCCCATCTCACCGCAGGGAAACTGCTACGTGTGGAACCTGACAGGTGGCATCGGCGAGGAGGTGACGCAGCTGATCCCCAAGACCAAGATCCCGGCGCACAACCGCTACGCCCTCCAGTGCAAGTTCAGCCCCGACTCCACGTGAGTGCGTGCCAGCGATGGGAAAAGCCGGTGCTTTCTGGGCAGGCAGAGGCCAGCTGTGCTCCAGCTGTTGGCAGGTGCTGGCTCCACGCTGCCCTGCGGGTCCCCTGGGGAGGAGTGGGACAGGAGGGACACGCTGGGACTGGGTTGGTGGCAGTGGCATCCCAGCCTCTTGCTCTGCAGTCTCAGCGAGCTGTGCAGCCACGAGCTGTTCTTGCAGCTGGGACCGAATTGATCTCTGGGAGCAACACACTGAACTTGGTGAACTCCTTTCCTGGGTCTGTTTGGCTTGAATGTCACCAGGCGGATGCGATGGGTGTAAAGACACCTGATGGCAATGAACGCAGGTCTCCAGCTCGTTGCTGCTCCGTGCCCACACTAACGAGAGGCCCTCGGGCGCACGGTGTGACTCGTAAGCTTACCCTGCACATCTCTTCCTCGCAGGCTCTTGGCCACGTGTTCTGCTGATCAGACCTGTAAGATCTGGAGGACTTCGAACTTCTCTCTGATGACCGAGCTGAGCATTAAGAGCAATAACCCTGGGGAAACGTCTCGGGGCTGGATGTGGGACTGCGCGTTCTCCGGGGATTCCCAGTACATCGTCACGGGTGAGGCACCGCTGCGCTCCTGCCCTCGGGCCCCCGCTTGGCGTGGGCTCTGCCCGGTCCCAGCAGCAGGGCCCGGCACGAGCGCAGAGCTTCGCAGTTTCTCGAGCTGGGCCGTTGCCAAACCCTCGTGCAGTGGGGTACGCGGGGAGGGAGCACCCAGCCTCATGCCCACGCCACAGGCCACCAGCTCCCACCGCGTTGTGCCCGTGCTGCAGCGGGGCAGCTGTCTCCACTGGAGAGCTGATCTCTGTGGGTGCGGTTTATTGCACCTGGTAGCGATGCTGCTTGAAGTGCTGTCAGCGTGACAGTCCCTTCAGAACACACACGTTTTAATTTCCACAGTAACTTCTCTCCAAAATAATTAAAACCTCACGTCACACAGAAGTGCACTAAGCTTCTTGCTCTGCATAGCTCCCTCATGTGTCACCAACAGCCCTGATAATGGTGCTGAATGAAGCAGGAGGAAAGTCTTTCTTATAATAATAATTTTAACAAGTTTAAAGGGTAATGCAATATATCCCCCTCCTCTCTTCACTTTCTGTTCCAGCCTCCTCCGATAACTTGGCCAGACTTTGGTGTGTAGAGACCGGAGAGATCAAGAGGGAATACAGCGGCCACCAGAAGGCAGTTGTCTGCCTTGCCTTCAACGACAGCGTGCTGGGATAACGTCCCGTGGGGGAAGGGGAGGACCTCTGCTTGTTTCCCCTCTCCAGAGCCCGACACGCACCTGTGACCATCCCCTGCGCCGAGGGAGAGGGCTTGGCCTCTGGCAGCAGCAGCTGCATCTGCCCAGGGGGACAGCAGGCTCCAGCATCGAGCAGATCGCTTCCAAAACGCGTGGGGTGTCGGAGGGAGGCTGCTGGGACCAAAGGGAAGGGGAGAGGGGCACGGTCCCGCTGCGGGGAGCTGGGTACGGTTCAGCTGGAGGAATCCCTGTGGCACTGGCTGCCGACAGCTTTGTGATGTCCCAAAGTGGAAAAAAAAAATCAGCCTTTCTCGATGATGGAATAGGCTGAGCAGAGAGGAAAGGCGGCTGGGCTCGTTTTGCAATCCCTTTATTCAAAGTGTGTTTCACAGACTGAGGTGCTCGTACACAGCCAGCCACCCCCAGCAAATGCCATACCCTCGTGCTGAACAGGGCGTGGAGCCATGAAACACACGATTCCTCTAGGCCTGGGTCTCCTACTACCTACGTACAAGATGCAGCCCTGGAGCACAGCTGCAAATAAAGCATCTGTACCGACAGCGCTGAGCAGAGTCCTGTTCTTCTTCTAACCTCTCCTGAGCTGCAGCATGAAATCAGCAGGAGGTTTTGGGGGACATGGTGACGTTACCTTCCTTGTTGAAATCAGGCTTTTCAGGAATCCAGTTCAAGTACGCAGGGCAGCGAGAGGGCGTCCGCGGCAGCGGGACTTAGTCAGGGAGGTAATAGAAGCAGATAGACACACAGATGTTGCTTGGAAAACAGATGTCAATGCAAAGGTAGATGAGCCGCTGCTTCCCCGGACCTGTCAAACGAGCGAGGACAGAGCAGGGTGAGAGGAACATCCCTGGGGAGGCAAGCAAGCGGAAAGGCTCGGGGAATGACCTTTCTCATTAAAGCTGGAGTAAGGACAGAAGGAGAGCTCGGCAGGCTGCTTTTGGGGAAGATGAAGGTGAAAAGCACGAAGCCAAGTGCTGTGTGCTGGGGCTGTGCTGTGCAGGCAGGCTGTGCTGCCCGGGGAAGGGGTTCAGAGCTGTTCCCAGCCACCAGCACAGTTCGCTGCAGGTTGTGGGTGTGAGCCAGCTCTCAGGGATCCCTGAACAATGGTTTGATTTTGAACTAGAGGTCACCTGTCCCTGTCCCAGACCTTGGCAGCCAGGGATGTGCGTAACTTTTTCGCAGCAGAGCCTGCTCCTCGGAGAGGGACGAGAAACAATTGTGCTTCCCTCCTCTGCAGAGGGACCCGTACAACTTACCCTCCCCTCTCCGGACCCAGAAGATGGATGTCTGCTCGCACAGGGTCTGGACAGCCTCCCCCAGGCTCCCCAGTCTCTGGGGGCCCCCCCGTCCCCCCGCCACAATGCCCAGGAACTCCCGGTAGTACGTGGTCTGGTTATTCTGCTGGAGCAGCTGATCAGCCTGAAAGAAACACCCCTGGTAGTGCCTCCCGAGCCCCTCTGCTCCTCCCGGCATCGCCCTCCA